ACCATGTTTCAGGTGCCTACTGGGTGGAGGGTTTTTTGGGAATTTGATGGATATTGGAATGTGCTCAATCTATGGTGAAGAAAGCTTTGTACTTTGGTAACATTTGGCTTCGCTATCATTTATATACATGTGAATCACAGTAGTAAACATGCTAGCACCTCTTGTATCGTCATGTTACATGGGTAAATTGTGTTAACATGAATGGGGCAAATCACTTGTTGTGTTCGATAGTGAGCTCTCTAAGCCCTTTTATTGAGTTGGCCGTGAATCCAACCCATAGTAAAGTCAAGGACTTGTTGGTATTTGGTATAGACATTATTGAGATGTTTATATGTACTACTTTGGTATAGACATTATTGAGACATTATTGAGATGTTTACAAGTAGTTGTGGTGACGAGTTTGAGGACAAGGATCCCGTTGATGGCTCTATGTCCAAGCACCGAGGCGTCTAATACCTCTTCTGGAGATGGTTCACGGCCGGTATGTAGACCTATGTTGTTTCAGATATCCTCTATTTTATGTCTTGAACCAAAACAAAGGGAGTGGTGTGAAAACCTTGTTCCAAATCAACAATACATTTCCTTTTTTGCAATATTATCGGTTATTACATGATAAGTCCGAGTTGGATTCATCCTTGGTCGATGGATATATTTGAGATCTCTGACTATATCATCTTTGGTGAGCTAACATGGATTTTCGGCATTCTAGGTGTTCCGCCTCTCTGAACCGGTTACTCATTATTGCCACCATCCGTGTCTACATCGAAAAGCGATCGAGAAGGGTTCCTCCAAGACCGGCAGGGATTCACAGGATGCCCTTGCTCCGTTGGTAAGATACTATCCTGTCCTTTCAATTCACAGAGCTGAATATACATTGGGTTTCTGTGAAACTGCATTTACTAATTTTGTGTTTCATCTCAAGGTTGTTGTTGCGCTCAAGCTCTCCAAGATGCAAGAGTACACTGGCCACTCTGCCCCGACCGTTATCACATAAATTTTTTGAAGAGTGTCTTAGAATGAGTTGAGGCGGTTACACAAACTCTCATTTTAGCCTCTTGTTCCATAGTTTTTCTTTCATGTTGCATCTCACCGATGAATAAAATGTATGTATCAGACTGTCTCGTTTTTTTGCCCATACTGCAGAGTAAGCCGCTAGCACAGCATGCGGTAATAATCTTGTTACAATGTTGTAATTGGGAGCATGTTTCTTCTAACCTTGTTTTCCTTTGAAAAGCTTCTTCTAATCTTGTTAGAAGTGTTTCTGGTTTGTTCGAGCATTTGCGTATCATTTTTTCCTTTGTGAAGAGAACAAAAATATTTTACTCACCTGTATAACCTATCACTAATGTTTTGATGGTTGTTTGGTGAGGCTTGGTTATCAACCGTTCGAGAATTAACCATTCCTGTGTGATCTGGTTGTAGACCTGTCTTCTTAAGTACCTTGTAATTGCGAATCACGAGTGGCATTATGGCAGGGGATTGTGGTTGTGGGTTGGGATATATTTGCATCGGTGTTGGTCTTGTTTGATGTGATCAACATAGCTGTGTTGGTTCAGCTCCATGATTTACAGGCCTGGGTGACCGGTGGTTCTGAACTTCTAATACATGTTCTGTTCTTGTGATAGATGGCCCTCTGAACTCCATCCACCGAATTTTTGATGTCTTGAGATTGGAAACGAGTTGATGTTTTGAAAGTGGAAATGAATTGAGTTCTTTTGAATGTTAATGAGAAGCGGTGGCATAAACCAATCCACGATGCGTGCAAGTATGCCAAGATAAGACGATTGAAGGAAAAACCAAACCCAGAACCCATGCATTTTGACACATATCAGCGATCACAAGCACACGACAAGCTAGGGAACCAGATAGGGCCGGACGAACTCATTTTTCTTTTAAAATGAAAAAAAAGATTTAGAATGACTTTGACTTCGTCTCGGCTCATTCAACTCGGTTTGAAGTTGATAATTCAGGAGACTATAAATAAAATTATGCTAATTTCAAGAAAGCTCAAAAGAAGTGTTCTTGGTTTGTTATCCAACACTAGAACCAAATCATCGCAGCTATTATTATGGGCATCTCAAGTTTACGACAGTGCGTCGGTCTCATTTGCCATCTCGCAGCCCGCCTCTCACACGAGGTAGGTCAGTCCTGTCGGAGAATCAAGGAGCCACGACGCCCTTGCCGCTACCGTTGGAGTGCCTAGGCTCCCACAGGATGGTTGTCTCCTTGATCGGCGAGGTCACCACGTCACGGGTCCATGTTGCGCTGTGCAAGGCGTCCCGTCTCTCCAAGTAGCTGAGGCAAACCAAGAAACCTCACGAGTGGTTCGGGCCAAGCCAAGAACCAACCGAAGCAGCAGAAGGCCGCACTGGAAAGAAAGAAACCAGTTCCGCTGCCTCTCACGTTTGCCTTCCTTCTCGGTGTCACGGCCCACCCGCACCGACGCCCCGCGGTTCGCGACGCCATTACGAGACAGACAAGAACATGACATGAACACACGGCCGATTAGAACACGAAAGATCATTAGCATATATAGATGCATGCATTTTGCTTGCATATATAGATGCTCATTCACCAAGAATCCAAGATTGTATCAAGGGATCTTTCGGGTACATTAATTAAATTTAACCCTGATACTTGTAGCTAGGAGTGCCATTGGTTATAGTTTATTTCATGCCTAACCTTGCTACGGCTAAGCTTAGTCAAGTCATCAAGTGTAATGAGTCACTTCTTGTGGCGAAGAATTTGGACTCCACAAAAGTGAAGTGTAACGCGCCACACTTTTTGTGACGAAAACTTTGGACTCCACAATAGTGAGAAGTTGTGGCTATAAAATAAATCTACTGTATGTGAGACGGTGCTAAGAAAACATGACAGCTGAAGTGGTCAAACAGTGGCAATGAATCAAAGACTAAAGATTGCTCGGCAAGTTTGCCCATGAGCCCATGAACCAAACAAGTCCATTTAGGGGCTGCAAAACTCTTATCCAATTATTTTACTTGTAGAAAACGAAGAGAGAGCATCCAACCGTGCAACCCAAATGTTAAATGACTACTAGAATTGCTCAAAAAGAGTTGACCACTGCTCCCTCCAATCCAAATTATAGTTTATTTTGCTTTTTTTAAGTCAAACTTCTCTACCGCTACAAATAGTTATGCATGCATAGGTTCATGCAGCGGGAGAGGTGATTGATGGCAGCGGGTGACCACAGTGCAGTCTACCACACCACAAAGACGCCATGCATGCACACCTCGTGAATCGGTCGGTCTGAGGCGGACCAGGACCATGCACCTCGGGCGACGTGTGTGGGACTCTGGAGCATGCGTCGTGCACAGGCGCGAGCGGCTGTCCATGCTGGATCGGTTTTGGATCATACCCGTAGAAAATCGAGTGCTCACCGCTCGAGAAACACTCGAGTACGGTATAGTTTTACCGAAAAAAGGTAAAAAAAGATGTGGGTATCGGGGTGTGGTATAGATAACAGCGAGCAAAGCAAAGAGAGCCATGCCTGAACAGAGGTCACTAGCATCCTCATGGTTCGGATAATTCTGAAAAGATGTTGTGATTTCACTTCATACAAAGGTTGGCGCATATTGTGGACAAGAAAGGGAAGGAAAGAAGAACACCTAGGAAAAGTTAGCCTTGGGTAGTAAAGAGAGCTTAGAAAAGTCTGAGTGGATGTCAAGTCCCAAGCACTTTGTGCATGCTCGACCACCACACTACGACGTCAGGTCACTTGTCATCACAAGGCGTGCCACAATGGACCCTTACGTCGATTATCGGGCCCGTTAGCACCTTGTCCTCGCATGACCACGACATCATGCCGCACTCGCCGTCCTCGTGCACTGTGCGCCTCTACTTTTCCTGTCCTCCGGTCCGCTTTTGATACTCACCCTTGTCCCCGTACCAGACCCCCTCCCTTCTTTCTTCTTTTGGGGACAAGGCCACCCGCACGCCTTCCTCATCGAGCGAACCCTCTCTTCTCTCCTTTATCCCTCCTCCGCTTAAGCTTGCTGCAGGGAAGCACGCCATGGTGGGGTCAGTATCCCCACAGCGTGAACCAACAAAGGTATCCCATCCATGCCGTCTCCACTTTAGGTGCGCCGCGCCCCTATCTACGTTCGCTACTATAAGATGCCCTTGGTCCTTCCTCTTCTCCTTCATCCTCGTCCCTCTCAAATCCGGCGAACTAAGAGATCACATCGTCATTGTGGAACTAGGTTAAATCGTCAGAGGAGGTGATGGTGTAATCTGAGAAGAAGGGATCTGGTTTTCAAAGAAGTTCAAGTCTACCGTTGGTTAGTTTGGTCTTAGGGTTAACGATGTTTTACTTCTTAGTCTCCTGTTTCTGGATCTGTTGGTTATACGCCATGTTTTGGATAATCATTATCTTGTTGTTTCTCCATTGCCCTCGTCTATCCCGACTTCTGGACTAAACCTTGGTTGTACTAGGTCGCTCTTAACCATGTAACTTTAAATCCCGGTGTAATTTAGTGTTCGACGCGTGTAATCTTTCGTGTGATTCCAGATTCTGAAATGTGTTGTAGTTTTGCCTAAGGGGAGTGAATCCTAATTCACTCTTTTGTAAACCCTCACATTAAGAGACATACTTGTGTTGTAGTTTTGCTCTTTCCACCTATAATGCAATCATAGCCAATGTTGTGCTTTGAATCTAAGTGTCTTAGTTGCTTGAGCCCAACTCCACCAAATAGTTCTTTCCACTAACATGTCATTGATTTATTTGGCCTACAATAGGCACCATGTAATGACAACCAGCCCTCTATGCTCGTTTACAACATTGTAATGCCTTTCCTTCCCATATTTACCCGTTTAATGTATCAAATAGGCTAACCTTTCGTACCAACGCGATGAGAAAACATATTAGACTTATGAGCCACCTATACCAAGCACATCATCCGCAGCGAAGCACGAGCAGCAATGGCTAGTAGACACATTATGTTCTGTTTTCAATCTGATGGGATAAATATATTCGTTTGATTTTAGCGAAGACCTAATGGAAACACGGCGTACAGTGCAGAGCTCGTCATGAGAAAACATTGGATCGTGGACGTAATGAACTCCGTGATTTTGGTGCCACGAACCACAGCACCTTTTCTGACTGTGCATTCTGTACAATACAAACAACTACGTACATCTCGATCGTGGCACGTGCGACGTGGACTCGCTACGACTTGTTCCCCGTGTGAACTCGCACATTTCAGACAATGCAGACGCTTCCGACCACAACCTATATGTAAACAAAAACAACTTAAGCACAGAGTTTAAAGGGGTGTTTGGTTCTCTAGGCGCTCCTAAAATTTATGTCACATCAAATATTTAGAGGCTAATAAAGAGTATTAAATATAAATTAATTACAAAATCAATTATATAGATGGTGGCTAATTTTCGAGACGAATTTTTAAGCCTAATTAATCTATCATTAGCACATGTTTACTGTAGCACCACGTTGTCAAATCATAGACTAATTAGGCTTAAAAGATTCGTCTCGCAAATTAGTCGTAAGTTATGCAATTAGTTTCATAATTAGTCTATATTTAATACTCCATACATGTGTCCAAATATTCGATGTGACAGGAATTTTAGGAGGAGAGGAAGGAACCAAACAGCCCCTAAATTTCTATAGCTAGGAGCTGTATGTGAGCATGCATGCCTGGAATATCTACATGTGATTTCAGGATCAACTTCTTCACTGCATTCAGGTGCTCTGGCCGGCCTCTGGGCTCTGCGTCGGCAGCTCGTACGCCTACGCGATCAACGAGGCAAGCATCTTCTCAATCTCAATGTCCGTGGACCCGAGGCAGCAGTCGCCGTCGACGCTGGCAACAGCATCGGCCCCGGCGTACACACGGCCGAGGAGGACGAGGGCGCGGCGGGCGGCCGCGAGCCGACGGGACAGCGCGGCGGCCTCGGCGCGCAACGCGGCGTTGGCGAGCAAGGCGAGGGGCCAGCCCGTCGCGCGCGTCCTCCGCACGCGCCGCCAGGTCGCGATTCCCGCGCTCCAGGAGCGCCGCGCTGTCCCTGAGCTCGTCGAGGTGGCGCTGCTTCCGCGCGCGGAACCGCCGCGTGGACTCTCGGTTCGATATCCTCCGACGGAAGCGCCGCTGGTCGACGCACTCCGCCGCCGTGGCGACGGCGTCGACCTCAGGCCAGGACGCTGCCGCCGCCGCCGCGGGTTTAGTTGGGAATAGGCCTGCCCGCCCTGCCGTGTGGTCTGATCCGAACCCGGTATGCTGCTTTGCCATCGCGGGGGAGATTTGCATGTCGATGCAAGTCATGCACCCTAAGAAGGCCGTGACTGGCAGGATGGTAATCGTGTGCGATTTTTTTTTGATGGGGTCGTAATTGTGATCAGAGGAGGAGGAACGGAAGATGGGAAGGCCGCAGTATTTATAGGTGGCGTACGAGGGGTATCTTGGTATTCTGTTTGTTGATGGTGTGGCCGTGTGGGTCCAATGTTGGCTGGTGATGATGCAACACACAGTACATCAATGTGGATCTATATATACAATCTTTTTCGATCAATGTTGAAATTGATGAAGTTACCAACGATGCAAAGCAAAGCCATGTAAAGCATAGGACCCTGTGATGCAAGTTATTAACTGAGAACTATGGGTAAGGAAAGAAACTTGCTATATTTTAGGTGTCTGAGATATAGAGCTCGATGGAGGAAAAAATCAAGACAGGATTGGATACGGTATCTTATACTCCTCTCGTTCTAAATTATAAGATGTTTCGATTTTTCTAGATATACATTATTTTTATTATGTAACTAGACATAGCGTATATCTAAGTACATAGCAAAAATCATGTATTTAGAAAAACAAAAAATGTCTTATAGCCTGGAAGGGAGGGAATATTGCTGAGTGCACCCTAATCAAAAGAAATTCTAGGTCATCCACAGTCGACTTAAAATCAACATATACATTTAGCTTAGCGAGTTTAGGATAGGGTTTAGACCGGGCTATCCATTTGTTCCTTGCGGATACAATATAAACCTCTAGAAAATATTCATAGGGAAACATCTAGAAAATATTCATAGGGAAAAACATAAGTGCACCGTATGATTGTTCTTCACAAATGTGTGCACACAAAGCGACCAACAATGTTACAAAATAGATTATTTGCCCTGTTCGTTTGGCTGATAAGCCATGGCTGAAAGTATTGTTGGCTGATTTGTTGTGAGAGAAAAATAATGTTCGTTGACTGAAAAAGTACGGCTTATAAGCCAAGCGAACAGGACGATTGGCTGCAAATACATTAGACAAACCATACACATGATACAGTGATGTTCAGAGCTATACCGCCGGACCAGAACTGCCTTGGTCATTGAGTCTGCAGCATAATGCCCGCTGCGAGTGGCGGCGGCGCACAGGGCGGCTGCGTGATGGTGACGGCGGGCAGCAGGGCAGCGACCGAAGTCACCTGCTAGTATGATTTACATCACATGCCTTGTCGTCTCTTGACGAGGTCCCTGCCACCTTGCGATCATGAGTCACCGACCGAGAGAATCGATGCTTGTGACTTGCGAGAGGACGAGCTCGATATTTGTCCTTTCATTTTAGTGTCGTCTCCGGAGCATATATATTTTTTTTCGGTTGGATTAGACCAAACTGACAGCTATTTCCAATCTAGTTTAGAAAAATAATGCAGCACCTTATTGAAAAGGCCAAAATGACAGCAATTGCCAGAAGGCAACAAACGCACACACAACGAACATGAATAGAGACAGGCAGAACATGAAGCAAGCTCTAGCGACTAGCGGTGAAGACGCATCGGCGTGCAACGTCCGCGAGAGGCCGTGGTGGACGTCCAAGAGCCACGCCACGTCACGGCGCCCTGTGAGAAGACGACCGCAGTCCGCGCAGATTTCCGATTCTCTCCGCTCCTCTTCTAGGCCCGTTAGGAATTAATATTTAACACTATAGCACTTTTGTTTGTATTTGATAATTATTGTTCAATTATGAATTAACTGCGCTTAAAAAATTAAATACCGTAATTTACAATCAAACTATATAATTAATTATTATTTTTATTTATATTTAATATTAAAATGCGTATGTCTAAAGATTTGATGTGATGGAGAGAGTGAAAAACCTAGAATCTAAACCAGGCCCAGTCTAGTTACCTTATTATCCGAAAAAAAAAAATCAAGTGCGACGGTACGAGCGTGACGGGACCCGCCCGCGCTCGCTCTTGGGCTCCAGTCCGATCGGGTCGGTGCCTACCCACCCCGCTGGCTGCCGCGGCCCGCGGCCCGCACCCAGGCGAGGCGCGTTGCGAACCACGGAACCTGACCGACCGAGTCAATCAATCCGGCGAGTTGGGTGTGTGCGGCGCGGGGGTGTGCGCGTGCGTGTGCGCGTGTGCGGCATGGCGACCACGCGCGACCGTGGCGCCGGCGCCGGATCGGCGTCGAGGGTCGGCGACGGGGACGTCGACCTGGGCGAGGGCTGGGACTGGGGCGCCATCCCGCGGCTCCTCTCCTCCGCCTGCCTCTTCCTCTGCTCCGGGTGGGTCCGCTTCGCTCACGCTCCTCTCTCTCCCCTTCCTCGCTCGCCTTAGCTTTCCACATCTGGTCAATCGAGTGCGATCTGCGCCGCCTGGGACCGAACCAACCGTAAGAGGAAGGAGGGGTTGCGCTGCCGCGACCGCGAGCGAACCAGCTGCTTCTGCCGGGTGCGATGCTGGCAGATTGACTAGCCTGTAGAGTGTGATGACACAGATGGAAATATGGAATCGCGCCGTTGCGAGACGGCAGGGCGTTCCGGTCGGCGTCCGCGCCATGGTTCATCTAGGTTGGTGATTGATTCCGCTGGGTATCTGTATACGAGTTCGACGTAGGTGCTGGAATTCATATCGTTTTTTCAAGGCGTTGCGTGCGCAAGGTAGTGGCGTTACCAGATTTAGCGACTACCGCTTAGCTGTATGTCTGCAGTTTGCAGCCTTTAGCCTAGGTGTCTACTCTATGTGTGCTCTGGGTCTTTCACCCACTGCCGAAAGTCGGAGGTGAGTAGGTGACCTTGTCTGCCTCTAGATTGTGGCATGTTTGCCATCTGTTTCAGTTTCATATTTGGGTATCTTTACTTGTTTTTTTTATCTACTTATGCTAATTGTCTACATGATCAAACTCCTTCCGAACAGAGCAGAGGCTGTTTTGGTTGCTGCGATAAGACTGTAAAGCAACTGGGTGAACTGTCCAGAAACCTAATCACCCATGACCAAATAACAATTGGAGAGCCATTTTGGAGCACAACCACCATCGAGGTTGAACCAGCAGATCTCAGGGGTGTTTCTCTAATCAATGCATCTAATTGGGCCTTTGATCAGCATGGAACTGGTAGCAGTCATAACCTTCCTGGACTTGGTAATAATGGTAGGTCACTCTGAATCATGTTTTCAGTTCTGCTAAACTAGGGCGTTTTCACTGGATCGGCATAATGCCTCCTTACTGCAATCTTAACCTTGATTTTGTCCTAGCTTCTCTGAGCTGAGAAAAAGAATGTTGGTCTTAGTTTTTCCGTGGTTTTAAATTTCCATCGCTTGATAAATTGTTCTTAAAAGTACCATCGCTTGGCATAAATCTCAATCTTCATGTTGAACTATGTCAGGGTTTATCTATTGCCGGTACCAAGATCGTTGCAGTTGGTGTACCATACTACCATGCCTTAGTTTTCCGTGGTTTTAATCAGAAATTTATTTCGAAGATTTGAAACCACAGTTTTGTCCTGTCATCTTTCACAACATCTGGTACATTTTGCTACTAGATTAGCGTATAAGAAACTTGAGTAGGCGGAAAAGGCAGTGCCCTGGTAGTGGGGAGGCTACTTGACCTCTCCATCTACCCGAGTTTGACACCTTCAATCAGCTAAGGTGCCCATGTTCTTTGGTGAACGCCATATCTTCTAATCATTTTTTCTTTTCCTAAAAGAATGGGTGAAGAAGTTTTGACTTTTGAGTAGGCAAACTGTTGGCTGATTGTTATTCTGGTGTTCGTGCTGGATAACATGTGAAATTGGTGTACCTATTGAGAACAACCTTAGTATGGTTGTCTGAAGTTCAAAATATTGTTGCAGGACTCATTCTGTGGGAACAGACTAGGCAGGAGTGGACTGAAATTAGAAGTCTACGGCCGAAGGTGAAGCAGGTTCGCGAACCAGTGTTGAGGTATGAGCAAATGAAATGACGACCGCAACCCAAAAAATTTACCCATACCACGTTTTTGTCAGACAAGTATATATTCTATAAAGTACATTTTCTTTGACCAAATGCACTTTGGCCCTGCTTCATATTGAAGGCAAAGGGTTGTGCTGGGATCACCAACTTTTCAGATCAAACCTCAGAATACCATGCTTGCCTACCATCATTTTAGCTTTCAGTAACCATTTTGTCTGCATTCTTACGGAAATAGAACTAGTTTCATTTTAAATTTAGTTTATTTTTAGATGCATATTTTGTTCTCCTGAAGTTTGAAATCATTGTGATGGACCTGTTTTATCCAGGCGATATCAGTTGTATTGGCTTTGCTGGTTTCAGTTTCTACTGATTCTTCCAATTGCGTGCTGTTAGTATAGTTTATCAATTCATTCATGTTGCACACTATATGTTGCTCAAGCCCAATGTGTTCCTTTGTGCACTTCCTCCGATTCCATAAAACTTGCTCATCATCCTCACTAGCATCGTTGGGACCACTTTCTACACCTACTTTAATTGCAGGGAAGTTATTAAGTGATTGTAAAATAATATTTGATAAGGCTATATTGAGCTTGGACCTACATACCGTAAATGGTTATATCTATGTGACTTGGAAGTTCTACAGCGCAATTATCTAGGAAACTTTCATAAGCAACAAATAGAGTACCTTTGAATCAAATTTGATGGCAGCTGCTCATTTTACAAGAATAATGCAGAGAACCAGCTATGATGTTAATTGAATCAGAAAGCGGATAGTCAGTCTTATTTGTGTACAATTTGTTTTCGCTCAAATAGATACTAGGTTTTTATTCCATTCCCCATAATATGCTGAAGCCGATAATATCTTATTTTGCTTCTGATGGTGTATTTCGTTTGTGCCACCCCAAGAAGCTTTAAGGAATGCTATCTTATTGATTGTGGAGGTTTATGTAATTGTGCTAAAAAAATCCATATTTATATATGCAGTTGGAATGCAGCATATGAGAGTCTGCTTGGATCAAATAAGCCATTTCCTCAACCCATTCCTCTTCATGTAAGATCTAACACATTTCAGTCTAGCATTTCTTGCAAGGCATGCACGCTTAAACATGGGTCATGAATTGCAGGAGATGGTGGATTTCCTTGTGGACATCTGGGAGCAGGAGGGGCTGTATGACTAGCGCAAATGATTTCATGGGATAACATATCTGGGATAACACATATTTGTTCCTCAAGAGAGGGGAAAAAAGAATGACATAGGGTGTGTTTGTAGGCTTGAGATGAGGTGATGAGTTGGCCTGTCATACTTGTTTTTGTCAATGGAGGCCTGTTGTACTTGCAGAATACAGCGCTGCGCTTGTAAGTCCTGATACTGATAGTGGCTTTGTTGAATTTGTCAAAGAAAGGTGTGTGAGGTTGAGTTGTGACAAAAAGTGTGATTTGTATTGATTAAGAAGGCTTTGACATAACAGTTAACACGATGACAGTTGCGTGCTGGTTCGAGATGGTTGGATTATTCTAAGGAACGAGGAGTCATGTCAGTGTCCAGTTCGTGGTGATGCAGCCTTTGACTGATCCAGTTCCGGACTGTTAAATTTCGTTTGGTTCTGTAATGTGAAGTGGCTGTGACAGTTTTGATGAATGACCTCTCTTGCCGACAAGGGAAAAAATGGTTAATGTGAGCACAACCTTATTGTGAGCCAATAACCTACTAAGGCTCCAACGGAACAGGACTGATCAGCAGTTACTCTCCTCAAATCGAACTTCTCAATTCCTCATTAATCATTGAGCAGCAGCCAGGCCATGACCCATTGACCCATTCATCAAAACAACTACGGTGCGTGAATGCCAAGTCGGCAGAAGAAACCGGATCTGGCAAGGTGCACGTCACCACTCACCATGTGGCTCCCCAGAGCCAAAAGCCAAAGCGAAGCGTTCATTGTTCACAGGTATGCCAAGAAAGGCCGAAAGGGGCACGGCGAGAAGTGTGGTCTGGGCCGAAACCAGCAAAGGCCATCGGCGTTGGGCCCCAGCAACGACGCGCGGGCGCGGCCTTCTGCGTTCCGCCGGTCCCACCACCAGCTGTCGTCCCCACCCACCCCACCCCACTGCGCATTCTCACACACACACAACACTTGCGACTTGTCCTCGGCGCCTCCGCTCCCCTTTTCGGCGACGCCTACTTGACCGGCTGTACCGGAGATAGAGAGAGAGGAGGAGGGTTCGGTGACGAGAAAACCCCAATCGCCTCCGCCCCATCCCCTACTCCGGCAGCAGCCGCCGACGTCGCCACGCGCATTCCGCCGCGCCAATCGGTAGGGTTCGCCCGCTTCGGCCCCTCAGCGAATCGATCCCGCTCCCTCCTCGCGCGCGCATTGCATTTCGTCCTCGTCTCGTCCCGCTTGTGTCGTTTTTGATCTGATGATCCGTGTTGGGTGGACTGTGTGCAGGGTATACGAGAAGCGCGGGGGATGGCGTCGTCAGCGTCCGCGCCGGCGTCCAAGGGCCCGCGCTACGCGCCGCCGGATCCGACGCTCCCAAAACCGTGGAGGGGGCTCATCGATGGCAGCACGGGGTACCTGTACTTCTGGAACCCGGAGACCAAGGTTACGCAGTACGAGCGCCCCCGTCGCGGCCGTGCCGTCCTCCCCGTCGCAGCCGCCTGGCTACTCCAGGCCCGATGAGAGACCGAGAAGCAGCGTACCTTCCGAGGTAACAACGCCTATTCCAAAATGTGGCTTTGTGCGAGGTTGAGGTCTGCGAGATGGACTTTTCTTCTTCTAGAGAACACATGTTTGCTACATTCTCATAGTAGTCTGTCTTTGGTGTTTCAGCAGCGGTCGGAAGCCGCGGTGAGTCGCCCGCAGTATGTGCCTCCCTCGGATAACAGGGCAAGGAATGATCACTCGGAGGTGCCCTGTTTCTCTCTCTTACTTCACTATATCAATCGTGTGCTACATGTCATATTTTTCCCGCATTTGCTCTTCTGTTTGCATGGTGTGATTTACGTCAAGGCTGCCAGTAAAAGTATAGTTGGAAGCAAGGATATTCTCTGCCTGCTGGTCGATTTCAGAGGTGGAAATACCTAATTAGTCGAGTTCAGTTCATAGTGATGACCTTTTTCTTGGCTAACCAACTATTTATCAAGAGAGATACTTTTTTTGGAGCAACCTGCTGAAGCTGCATGCACAATGTGTCTAGTTACGTGTACATGCAATGCACAATATTGTTATTCATTGGACATTGCTGTTTCAAAATATCAGGAAGATACAATAGTACTGTAGTAGTAATAGTGCATCAAAGAGTCAAGATATGATCAGCATATCATAAGATGTACTTTTCTTTCTCCACTCATAGCATGCTACCTTGTTTCCAGCCACGCTCTGCATCGGGAGTGAACCTTTCACAAAGTGCTCCATCCACTAATCAAGTTTCTCAGGCTGCCAATGGAAGCCAAATTTCTACAGAAGCATATCGTGCTAAGCATGAGATTACCATTGTCGTATGTGATCAACTAATCCATTCCTTTTATTTTTTTGTTTACTCCCTCCATCCCAAATTATAAGATGTTTTGGCTTTTCGAGATACATAGCTTTTGCTATGCATTTAGATATACACCATGTCTAGATATATAGTTAAAGCGATTGTATCTAGAAAAGCCAAAACGTCTTATAATTTGGAATAGAAAAGTACCATCAATCATTCTTGTTATTTATTTAGATGTTACTTAGTTTTTCCATTTCTTTTATTAACAGGGCAATGAGGCACCTGCGCCATTCATGACATTTCAGTCCACAGGCTTCCCATTAGAGATTCTAAGGGAGGTAGGTCTACACAACGTGTAGCAATATTAATGTTCTTTTTTGGATTCCTTTCTGATGGAACCAAGTGGCCATTGTGCATCCATTGTATGTGTGCATGATTAAACCAAGTTTTCTTTGCAGCAGGCTCTTCAAGTCAACAATCCAAGTCGTGGTTCGACCTGTTTGTTGTCTTGTACAGCCTCCTGTGGTTTGAAACAGCTCACTATTTTGTTCAGTCCCCAGCTGCATGATGTTTGGCTTGGCTTCTGTGTAACTAAAAATTGCACATCATGAGAAGCCTTTTCTCTTTGCTATAGACTATTATAACTTTTATCCTTACGCAGATATGGTATTTAGATAATACTCATCTCTGAAGGGTATCTACCTTTTGCAGGTTCTGCAAGCAGGATTCTCGGCACCAACTCCTATCCAAGCTCAGTCATGGCCAATTGCTATAAAGGGCCGTGATATAGTAGCTGTGGCAAAGACAGGTTCAGGAAAAACATTGGGCTATCTCCTCCCAGGGTTTATTCTTCTGAAGCGTCTGCAGCATAATTCAAGGGAAGGTCCAACGGTATTAATTTTGTCTCCAACCAGGGAATTGGCAACACAAATTCAAGATGAAGCAGTCAAGTTCGGCAGATCTTCAAGAATATCTTCTACTGTATGTTGCTTTATATTTTCTTATATCTGTTGTTATCATTACTAATGCTTTTACCTGCCTAAGTCTAGAACATGTGTCATATTTTTAAATGAATTAACTACGTTAGCGCCTCTAACCATATTTGTTAATTCTAATGAATTCATATGCGAGCAGATGAAAGCTCCACTTACGCTTAATATATGTTGTATCAGGATGTTAATCTACTTTTTATTGTTTGAAGTGCTTATATGGAGGTGCTCCAAAAGGCCCTCAGCTAAGAGAGTTGGAGCGTGGTGCCGACGTTGTTGTCGCAACTCCTGGGAGATTGAACGACATTTTGGAAATGAATAGAGTGAGCCTCGCCAAGTATCTTATCTTGTCCTTGATGAAGCTGACCCGAATGCTTGATATGGGATTTGAGCCACAAATAAGGAAAATTGTGAAACAAATACCACCTAGACGGCAAACTCTTATGTACACTGCCACATGGCCAAAAGAGGTTAGAAGAATAGCGTCGGATTTACTGAATAATCCAGTTCAAGTTAACATTGGAAACACTGATCAGCTGGTTGCAAATAAGTCAATTACTCAGGTGAGTAAAAATGTTTTTTTTTTCTTTTCAAACCAGATACTTTGTTTCTATACTTTGAAGTGGTTTGTTGCACACTGCAGCATGTGGAAGTCATCCCACATATGGAGAAATCAAGACGACTTGATCAGATCTTGCGTTCACAAGATCCTGGATCAAAAATCATAATATTTTGTTCCACTAAGAGGATGTGTGATCAGTTGGCTAGAAACCTATCACGGCAGTATGGTGCTTCTGCTATTCATGGTGATAAATCACAGTCTGAGAGGGATTCTGTGTTGAATGACTTTCGAAGTGGCAGGTGTCCAGTACTTGTAGCCACCGATGTCGCCGCTCGAGGCTTGGACATAAAGGACATCAGGTAGGACCGTGTCTTCGTTGCTTCTAAATTTTGAGGGCTTTTACCTTTCTAATCATTAGCAACTGTGCCATAGTCGTTCTAATGCTGATAATAAAATGATGAATACACACATATTTTGTAATCCATACAAATTTTCGAATGTAACCTACTGACAATCCTTCCAAAATCTCCTCACAGGGTCGTGGTTAACTATGATTTCCCAACTGGTGTGGAGGACTATGTCCATAGAATTGGGAGGACAGGTAGGGCTGGTGCGACAGGATCTTCCTACACATTCTTCGGTGACCAGGATTCAAATGCACGCCGGACCTTGTCAAGATTTTGGAGGGTGCAAACCAATCTGTGCCACCACAGTTAAAAGAAATGGCTCTTCGTGGAGGATATGGTGGAAGATCACGTCGGTGGGCATCTTCTGATGACTCTTATGGTGGTCAGGATATGGTGCTAAAAGATCAACTGATAGCTTCAATAACAGCAGCTTCGGCTGACCAGGCTGGGGGGTGGTTCAAGCTTTCACTCGAGGTGCGTATCAGTTTCTGTTTGAATGCTTCCTTTTAGCCTAGTACAGCCCTAACGAGTCATCAATTAGCAGCTTCCATAACAGCTCAGTGGCAATCAGTTTGGTGATATTACGAGCTTTCATGGCAGGTATGGTGAAAATTTCTATTATACATTGTCTTTGGCCCATCTATACATTGTAATGAACCATCACAGTACAGCTATGATAACAGCAGCCAAGAATAATCAGGCGGGTGACAATGCAAGCTTTCCACCCAGGTGTGTATAAATTTTCCTATCCAGATGATTATTTAGCTGCCCCTGCTACATGATTAATTGCTATCTTTGATACAGCTCCAGCAACAATCAGTCTGGGGATGGTCTCAGTTTTCATGAAAGGTACTTTATTAGTCTTTGAGCCAACATTTTTACCATCTTTGGAATTACCCAATGTCATTTGAAATTCTGAAGTTTATATAATCTCTGAACTTGTGTTGTCATTTGGTGCTGTCTGTCTTGTTGAAGTACTGATCTAATGGAACTTGCTTAGCATGAAAACAAAATTATATTAATGCATCTTTTGTCCTATTCCCTTGTTCTTCAACAACTATTATCACTTGGTTTCTTAAGTTTCTTATCTTTTATGGAATGTGATTGCATCCATGAAGAATGAATCTCAACCATCTGTATCGTCCATTCAATTGGCAGGTTCTATGGATCACGTGGAAGGGATCAGAGCAAAACAAGCAATGATGGATTCCGTGCTAGGAGCAGGAGTCCTCCTGGCAAGCCCGTGGGAGTTTCTAATTGGTGATTGCATCCACTAGGTGCAATCCAATTTCCGCGATGGTGACGAAACCAAGAAGAAGAAGATGGTACCCTAACAAGTTATATTATTTCCTTTTCTTATCCTGCTTAAATCCAAGGATGTCCTGGAACATCACTAACTTAGGATATGGGTGATGGTCTGATCCCTAATGGTCTCCTGCTATCTTGATTTGACGCCTGGGAGACGCCTGATTCCCCCCGTACCATATGCCTGTGGTCGTAGGTTGTAAAGCGTTAAAACTTGACTTTGCTGGTATACTTCCTAATGCTATTATAACCCAATCCTGGGTAGACAAACGCATGGGGATGAATTTTGGACGAAACCATGGACAACTGATGTTTGCGTTTAATGTTATGTACAATGTCGAAGACTGTTGTAAATGCCGCACGCATGGTTTTATATTGAACTGAGTGCCCGTTATTACATGTGTTGATGTGTTGAAGGATCATCCAGCACGTATGTGACTCTGCTCATGCGAGTTTTGTGGCCTCGACAGAGGCTTGTTTAGGAGGTGTTTGGATCCGGCTACTAAAGATGTGTTAGGAGGATGCTGCATGGGGTGTTTGGATATTAATAAAAAAATAAATTACATAATCCGTCAGTACTTCACGAGACGAATATTTTAAGCTTAGTTAATCTATCATTAGCATATGTTTACTGTTATAAAATATTATCAAACCATGGATTAATTAGGTTTAAAAGATTCGTTTTGTAAATTAGTTGTAAATTATGTAATTAGTATCGTAATTAATCTATATTTAATACTCTATACAATCTGTCTATATATTTGATGAACAGCGACTAAAATAAAATTTAGGAGGGGGAATCTCAAGAAGTTGCGCTTGTCTTTGTATATTGTATATTATATATCATACTGCTGCTGCACATGCGCCACCGTCTTTCTGATTTGTGTCGCATGGGCCACCACACAATGACGTAGACAGTTGTTTGCCGTGGTTTGGACTAATTCTAAACATATAGGCCGGGTTCACTTTGCAAATTTTTTGAACCCGATGAATAGTATCATTTTCGTCTTATTTGACAAATATTGTCCAATCGTGGATTAACTAGGTTCAAAAGATTCATCTCGTGATTTTTAACTAAACTGTGTAATTAGTTATTGTTTTTACCTACATTTAATACTCCATATAAGCGGCTAAAAATTAATGTGACGAAGAGAGTGAAAAAAACTTAGAATTTGAATGGCATCTAAACAAAGGCTTATAGTATGGCTAGAGAACATGTCCATGTCTCGTGAAACTCGAGAATATATTCGTTCATGATTCTTGCAACTCTGCAAATAGCTGTTGCCTGTGCCCTGTGGTACAAGTGTACAACTGGGTGGAAACAATGCTTGGTGCATATCCTCATTGAGATTCTAATGTCGATCTAATCTCTATACCTCAAAAAGCCTGTAATTTCTCACAAACTACTGTAATCTGTTTCATCCTAGCTTATGCATCCTTTGCCTTCTTGGTTCGCGTCAACCCAGAGTAAAGGAAGACACCTGCTAATGCAGCACCAGTTCCTGTAGGAAGAACAGCAAAATTAGACACCATGATTTGGCTTGAAGTGATGCAAAGGAGTAATGATTTTTTTTTTGGGGGGCAGGGGGAGGATTGATCAAAGTTACCTACCTAGTGCATTGACAGGCGAAATAGGGTGCTGAAGAACAGAACGGAGAGACGATCACAACCACACGCTTTACGCAGTTGGCGACGGAGTGTGTCACCGGTGACACTCTGGATAAGATCAAGTACGAGCTGCCATTGCAAGGAAGACCATGCATCAAACACAAGCTTTTCTTTTTGGAGACAGAGAAAGAGGTGAAGATCCATGGGGATGAAGAACATGATTATCTCCTCACCTTCTGGTAGCCATGGAAGCACAGACCTGCGAGCGCTGCTCTCACGCAGAGCTCTTGGAGGTTAAGGCCCTACATGATGCCAAAGCAAGATTATGGTAACTTCGTTGTTTGGAGAGCGATGACACAGCTGATTATTGAAGCATACATATCTTGTCTGATTTTGAAACGCCTACCGTGCTCTGGAGGTATCCTGGGGTGAACTTGATGCCTTCGGCGAAAGAACATCAGAGGGCAAGATAGCAGAAATGACAGTACAGTGATCACCGAGAAGAGATTTATGTCATCCATAACATCCTGCATCACGAGGCAATTTTACTGTTACTATAGTTCACCGACCGGCGGTACTATTAATCTGATGAAGGAAAATTCACCTTGTCACCGGCAAGGAGTTCCTTGCTGAGGACGTTCCTCGATTGGTTGGTCAGATTAGACGCCATGGCGCTCCAAAACCGGTCCTGATTCGCAGACAAAATTACAGTGTCAACTGTCAAGATTGCTCCAATCATTTGAGTCCCAACAGCAAAAAGGCAAAGAATCGCTCGGTACTACAGTACGATCAAAGATTCTCAACAGTAGGCAAAATAGGTGGCGGGCAGGCGGGCAGCACTGACCAGTTGAAAGAAACTTCGGTGAATGACGCCAAAGGCGACGCCGCCAACGATCAGCACGAGCAGGCCCAGCACCGGCAGGGAAGGGACCTGCATAGCAAACATCGAATGAGAAACTGATCATAGATTCCAGTTTTCTTTCTTGTTTTTGTTGATTCCATTCACGGCGGAATCGGCGAGAATTCGTTTTGCTTTTTCAGGACTCAGGAGGTGCGGGAGTGAGACGGTGGCGAACCTCGCCGAGGAAGAGGGCGGAGAGGACGACGGTGAAGAATGGCTCTGGAGGCCTTGATGGTGTGCGTAAAGGAGACGGCGACCTTGCCCAGGCTCATGTTGGTGAACACCGTGCCCAGCATGTGCCCCACCGGCCAGCGGCGCGATCTTGCCCAACTGCAGCAGCAAAAAGTTGTACTACGAATCAGCAAACCAAGCGGAGGGGGAAACGAACGAGATTGCAGCTTCGCTTCGCACGCAGTCGTCGCGGAGAGAATGGCCTCACCTGCGCAGCGGAGAGCTTGGGCGCGGGTGGAGCCTGGTCGCCCACATGAGGAAGATGAGCAGGGGCCGAACGCGAGCTGGAAGAGCGGTGATGGTGTGCGGCCGCGGCGCACGGCAGCGCGCCGAGAACCTGCAATGGGGGGACGGAGACGGACCCGGTTGGTCTTGATCGATCAGGGGAAGAAGAGGGAGGTGATATGGAGATCACTCTTGAGATCGATGCTGCGGTGAACAGGCCGGACATACCTGCTTGTTGTAGATGTTGAAGTAGATGTTGAGCAGGTACCACGCGACGATCGCCATGGCGCCCAGCTGCGCCGTGGCCTGCAATGCCGCCGCCAGCGCCACCGTCTCTCGTCACCGCGGCACTCACTCGCGTCGTCTGCCGGCACCGATGCCGCCGCCGCCGCCGCGGCAGCAGCAGCCGCCGCCTTGGCGACCTTCCCATTCTTGCCGCCACGGACAGCAGCGACAGAGGCCTGAGCCAGCAGCCGCCGCGGACGCGCAGGAGCGTCAACGGCGGGGCGGTGGCGGCGGTGGCGCCGCAGGGCCCGAAGAAGGAGGACGACGAGGAGGCGACGACGCCGACGTGGCGCGGAGGCGAGGGCGGAGGCGCGACCGCGCGGTGGCCTGAGTCCAAGAGGCTCCGGAGACGAGAGGTCGTCCCTGCGGCCGCCGCGCCCTGCATCATCTTGCGCGGCCTTCTCGAGAAACGGTCGCCGCCCCGGCCCGCGCTTAAAATACTCGTGGTCCGGTCGCGTGCGCTACGGAAAACGGAAAAGGTGGTGCCCGGTGAATCTTCCGGGATCCCGTTCCTCGTTCATCCCTGTGGCTCTGTGATTATACTGCGAGCAGTAGGCCAGTGAGACGACGCGAGACAGGGGGACCAGGGAGACCCCAGCTGGCAGGTTGGCACTTGGCGAGGGGCAGCAGCAGTACAATTGGGATTTGGATGCGTGGCGGCTTTCTTCGTCCGACCTTCGCAGCTGGACAGTTGGTCGTGTCGATGTCGTCGGCAGCTTGACCCTGTTGGATTGGGCACATGTTTCTTTTTTCCTCCGATCCAGAAAATGGCGTCACCGGTGAGGTGAGGACACACTAGCCACTAATGGTGCGTGAACGCCATTTCATACGCTGCGTCCGTCTCAATTATGCTGGCAATACTAGTTCTTCATAAAATTAAGTACGACGTATAGCATA